GAGGTTGGATTAATTTGGTATGTATATCACGTAGGTGTTCTGCATTCTTATGACCAGACTGTTTTTTTTGTTTTCTTTAGCAATTCGTTTTTAACAATTTGCAATATAATGACAAGTTTTGTGATAGTAAAAACATTCATGGTTTTCATGTATATTTGATCTTCTTACAGAAATAGATTTCACCTTAGTTCTCATTTTAATTTGAGTTAGCTCTGCTTTAGTGACTTCGATTTGCTCTTTTAACCTATGGTTTTCTTGTATTAAATCTCGAACCTTAATTTCTGCACTTAGTTTTTCATTCATTATTTTTCCAAACTCACTTTGCAGTTTTTCATGGCCTACCTTGATTGAGATATATTTGTTTTTCACATTCACAAACTCTTTTTGAATATCCCTAATGGTTTCTTCTAACAATTCATCATCATCATCACTATAAGAGTCAGAGTAGTAGGCATTTACCTGAGATTCTTCTACTCCACATTCGTCAATGGCTATATAGGCACTGAACTTGTGATTGGATTCATCATCAAGTTCATCTTCTACTCTGCAGCTCCAGGTAGTTGCATATGCTCTTTCTTTCTTGACCCGGGGGCACTCAACCTCAATTTGTCCGGTCTTTCTGCATCTAAGGCATCCAGCTTGAGGCTCGAGTTTTTCATTACTTACTCCTTACCTTCGATTTTTGAACCCTTGTCGTCCTCCTTTGTTGTTTTCTATGTCAATTTCCCCTTCCTTTGATCTTCAGGGGAAGCTTCCTCGTTTCTTTTATTTTTCTTTTCTCGAGAAGCTTCGCCACATGCTTGCTGGGCATAGCAAGCTCATCATCCTCCATTTCATCTAGACAATCTAGATCATCTTCTTGAGATGTAGCTTTGAAGGCTATGCCCTTTCTCTCTTTTCTTGGTTCTTTCAACTCTTCTCTTTTCAACTTATCTTCATGTGTGATTAGAGACCCAATCAGTTCATCCAGACTCAGCTTGGTGAGATCCTTGGACTCCTAAATCGCTGTGATCTTGGGTGTTCATTTCTTGGGTAATGCCCAAAGAACCTTGCGAACCAAATCAGCGCTGGCGTATTCCACCTCCATGTTTCTCAAGCTATTTACTATAGTGGTGAACCAATCATTCATCTCTTTGATTGATTCATCTGGCTTCATAACGAACGATTCGAATTCTGGCGCGTGATAGATCTCACGCGTCGAAGATCGCTAAATAACTTTACTTCTACTCCTAAACGACTACAATAATTACTGGAATAATCTTCTTCTTATTCATAACTGAACCACAAAGTACATATTTATAGGGAAACACAAGAATACATAATAGCTAATCATATCCCACTCTGACAAGGCAAACTAATAACTTCCTTAACAAGTCACAATAAACTAATACGAATATCTCTAAATAACTAAATAACTCAATAATTAACTAACAATATATCCCTAATGACTAAGCCCAACTCGGCCACAGGGCCCAAGGAAGTTATAATGCACCAAATTCTTGTTGGAGGCTATTTATCCTTGAGATCTTGACATAAGAAGTACCTTAGTGTGCGACTTGTAATTTGTCCCAAATTTCTTTTGCCGATTTGCAGCTATTCACTCTGTGGTACTCCTCTGGTCCCAGCGCACAATACATTAAGTTTGTTGCCTTCGAGTTGAGCTGAAAATTTCTATTGTAAGTTTCCGTCCATTTTCCACGGGCTTCCTTTACTTCCAGAGGACCATCAAGAACGATATTCCATAGATCCGATGAAGAGCTTCATCCAATTTCTCCAGAAGCCGTAGTGAACACCTTTAAACCTAGGAGGATGTGTTTGCAAGAACCCGTCAGCCATAACTTTTTTCGGTGGCCGATCCCGAACTCATCTTCTCCGAAGACGGTTGCCCCTTTAACGTCGAAGTCGGGTTCTGATACCACGTGTAAGTGGGTCGAGCTCGAGACCTGCCTTCTTCTTGTTGGTGGTGATGTACTGATCCTACAAAACCCTAATCGATCGATTGACCAAGAAAAGGTTTTGAGATGGGTTTTTTTTTTGTTTAAATTAAAGTGGAAATATATTATTTTAGAAAGAAACTGAAATAAAATTGAGATAGGTTTAACCCGGAGTGACAGTGGGCTTGAAGCCCAGAGGCTGATCACTGAGAAGCTTGGACTTAGCCTAGTCTAGACCAGCCAAGCATGTTGTTCACTTTCTTCTTCCTATAGCTGCTGTCTCCAATCTCCTGTTTTCAGTTCTCCAAATTGCAGAATGAAAAACAAACACACTGCAAAGGCACTTTTACGTGGTATCCGATATTGGGAGAATAAGGATCCCAATATCAACTAATCCATGGTTGGAATTTCTCTTCTTGAGAATTCCTACGTAACCACTAGAACGATTTCCCTGTTCTTCTTTACACCCTTTGAGCTCAATCTGATATGCTCCCTGCCTATCAGTCTAACTCTCTTTATGATGTATAATCTCCCCGATTACACACTCAGAATCACACGCTATTCTCCCTGATTAGCTTACTGAGTTTTTCTATCAAAAGACACTGAATTCACACACAACACTATGCTTTTGATTTCCCTGGAAAATATGCTGCCTAAGTTCGGATTGCTTGGTCTTTATAGTGTTCCTTTCTTGAGCTAGCCGTTGTAGAATGGTGATTTGATTGCTTGCAAATCTGCGCTAGCTTTCCTTCTTTGAGAACTCCCATATATGCCTTGATTGCTTCATCGATTCTTTTCTTATTGACAAGCTTCACTCAACATGATCTAACGACAAAAAAAAAAAAACTTATGATGAAATGAAGAGGAGTTAATGTTATATAACCAAATATAAAAAATTATTTCCTAATAAAAGAAGAATCAGTAAAGTTGGGAACTCACATAAATAGAAAGAATCTTTCTCTTCTTACTAAAAAAAACTTTCTCATAGTAACTCTTTTTTCATTTCTTACATCAATAACTCACGGTGGAAAACTTCATTTCCAGGACGTAACTGAATAGCAGCAGTACTCGATTAGTCACAACTTTATAAAAAGTGACAGCTGAACGAAAAGCTGAAAAAAATGAAAGAAAGAAAAGGGTTATCATTGATGTTGTGGGCTTCTAGCCTTAGAGCCTGGGCCACGGCCCAGCGCTTCGAACCTCTCATTCAGTTGTGGTCCATACTGCAGTACCCTTTGACCCAACATTTCGGAGCCCAATGCTCTTACGAACCCACTCAAGGAATTGCAGTTGGCTATAGGGGTGATTATACGGTCTGGTCTAATTAAATTGGCCTGAATTGATCCGGTTCCGATTCGTTTTTTTTTTTTTGAAATATAAGGACCAAAAATTGGATTGGATACAATCCGATCTTGATTCGGTCTGGTCCAGACCCCGTCCGGTCTCAATTGGGTCTTGATTTTAGATTGAGCTTGTGGGAATTTGAGTTGCCTGAGACCTCAAAAGGTGAGGAGTTGGTTAAGTTTTGGGTGTTGACCTCTCTTATTCGGTCTTTATCCGGTTTTCAATCCGGTTCCAAACGGGTTTTTACGTCAAATCTAAGCCCAAAGATGATATTCGATTGTTTGCTATCCTCTACTGGTACGATCCCGTTCCGAGTTATACGGTTCGATTTCGAGTAAACCCAAAAGTCCGGACCAAATAGTCATCCTTGCATAGAAGTAGGGATGGCAATCAAACCCATGGCCGCAGGTACCCGACCGCCCCCGACCCATTCAACGCAGGGAATCCCCGCTTTGACCGGGTATGGGGCGGGTATGGGTAAAACCCGCAAAAAGTTTGATGAGTATGGGGCGGGTATGGTTTTAGCCTCCCCCGCCCCATACCCATACTCATACCCGCCCCACCAAGAGAATTTCTTCACATATAAAAAAATATGTGGATTAAATTGTAATCTATCAATGATGATGATGATAACTTGGAAAAATAAATAGTAGAAATGCAATTGAGTAACCACCTTAATCAAAACCAAGGTTGTCAAACCGGTTTATACCGGTGTGCCGGTTTTGCAAGTGGAATGGTCCGACCGTGGTACAACCGGTATATGCCAGTTTACGCCGGTTTTAGCAAAATAAATAAAGTGAAAACCCAAACCATTAAGGAACGGTAATTATGAATTTATGAGGGATTGGCAAACAAAAAGGTCATTCAGCGGCCCAGTTGCGTAGAAATTAAGGAAAAAAAAGTAAAAGTGACAAAATTAATAATGGAAGTAATCTCATTTGGTTTCGTTTGTTTTACCTTTCTTTAAATTGTTATTGAATTAATATTTTACCTTTCTTGCAAAATTAATGAATTCAAACTCTAAACATATAAAAAAGGTAGAGAGGATTGTGGGTCCTACAACTAAAGGTGGTCAGAGGAGTGTGGCTGTGTGGGAATTTGGGAAATAGGGAAAAGTCTTCAAGGAAACGACGCCACTTCCCATTCCGGAATTATTATTACCGGTTGAACCAGCCGGAATTTCCGGTTTTGACCGGTTTTGACTGGTTTTGACCGGCATTGACTTGCCTATTCTACCGGTGGCATTCCAGCCGGTTTCATGACCGGTACAGGTTGAACCTGGTTCAACCGGCCGGCATACCACCGGCATGACAACCATGATCAAAACCTAATTCATTTCCCTCAATTCTCCTTCCACTCTTTCACTTTCCCCCTTGTCAACAAGATTATGTTAGTTAATTATTACTTAGTAAATGTATCAAGAGTTAGATCATAATAATTTAAAAAATATTGTAGTCTATATTATGTATTAATGGATGTTTTAGGATCATATTCTTTGAATCGTATTTAGAAAATGACCATGTTTTGTTGACTTCATGATATAATAGGTTTGTTTATGGTTATAATTAAATCTTTTCTTGTAAATTTTAGGTATAATAATGTTGGATGTACGGGGATGGGTATTACCCATGGGTACCCGAAACCCACGGGTATGGGGATGGGTTTGCAAAACATTCCCCGCATGGGTATGGAGCGGGTATGGGTTTGGGTATTTAAAAATGAGGATGAGGATGGTTTAGGCAAACCCGCCCCATTGCCATCCCTACATAGAAGTCCCAAGTCCCAAGGCGACCGGAGAGCGAGAAAGGCGAAATAATGGCAGAAGCCGGAAATAGCGGCGGTGGTGCGAGGAAGAGAAAAATGGCAGACAAGAAAGACGCCGGCGGCGCCCGTAAGTTGGCTCCGAACTCAAATTGGCCTGCCATCAAATCCAAGAAGAATCTTCAAATCACTCGTCTCAAAGATTCGGACCTCTTCACTGTACGTTTCTTCTATTCCTTCCCTCCTTCACCGATTCATTTGTTGTAGCTAAGCGTTGAATTTTGGGAACCTAGAGACTTGAGAATCAAGGTATTTGCAGCGGGCTTTTGAATTTCGTGGCTTTGAACTAGCTAAGACTGAATTAATGTTGTTTCTACTTTCTAGGTGCCAGAATTCTTGTCAGCAACTGAATCTAAGGCATTCATTAGAGCTGCAGAGTCGATTGGATTCGTCCATCAAGGCAGTCTTGGTCCAACGATGGGGGAAGCTTATAGAGACAATGACAGGATCTCCGTGAACGATCCGGTTCTGGCAAGCACGCTTTGGGATTCTGGGCTTAGCAAATTGTTCTCTGACATCAAGATTAGGGGCAAAGTTGCTGTTGGGTTGAACCCAAACATCAGATTCTACAGGTGAACTGTAGACAGAGAATCTCAGTTAAAGAATCTTAGGAGAGATCATATTATGTCATTACAGCTATAAGCTTTTGTTCAGGTACAAGGTTGGCCAGCGATTTGGGCGTCATATCGATGAGAGTGCGGACATTGGGGATGGGAAGCGCACTTATTATACGCTCTTGATATACTTGAGTGGCAGTTCTAAAGCCAAAGCTAGCAAGAGTGAGTTAGATAGTCAGAAGGATGCATCCATGGAGCCTCTAGTTGGAGGAGAGACTGTGTTCTATGGCTGGAGGAACAATGTGGTGGCAGAGGTGCCTCTCTTTTCTCTATGATCTGTGATCGTTTTGTATTTGTTTCTTTGACGGTGGTTTCAATTTCATTTGCATGACGAGTTATATTGGCATTCTTGTTTCTTACTCTGCAGGTGGCTCCCGCTGAAGGAATGGCTCTGCTGCATATTCATGGCGACAAATGCATGTTGCACGAAGCCAGGAACGTGTCGAAAGGGATCAAGTATGTGTTTCGATCCGATGTGGCCTTTGCTTGAACCATGAAATGTGTAAGTCCTGTACTTGTACACGAACAGAATCAGCAGATTGATTGCTCAATTTATTCAGTGTAGCTTTTCAGACTTACAGCCATAAGCTTGATAGGGCTCTCCACGATTGTAAGGTGTGTGAAAATTGTGTGCAATACAATATCAAATGGAACGAAAGAAAGAAAGAACTAATCTGTGGAAAAAACATCTCAATTAGTATCAATTCACAGAAGCGCATTTGAGCCTAACCTCTCCCTTCTCAATCACACCAACATTCCCAAGCTTCACCATTGAAGCCGCAAACTCCCCAAAGAACAGACTCTGATCCTTGGCAAAGGCTTCAACGGTCGACTTGGTATTGTCATCGATGAACAATGCCTGGTCCGACCCGAATACACCTTTCCCTTGAGTGAGTTGTCTGAAGTACTCGTTATCAAAGATTGACGAGGTCGAGTCCAGGAATGTTCCTGCACTGGGGTCGGTGTGGGGCTTCCTACATTTCTTTCTCAGCACCTCTGCCAACTGGAGATTCATGTTGGGATCAACATCGTGCATCGAGCTGAAGTTGCGAATGCGATTTTGGAAAGAAGAGCAGTGTGAAAACCCTAGGGTGTGTCCTCCAGACAAGGCGACCAAGTCCTTGACTCCTAAGGCTCTCTTGGCAAAGCTCTGGATGAGTTGAGACACGTTGAAGGTTGGAGCTGGAAGATTGATAGTGTCGCTGGCTTTCGACACCCTTCCATCTTTCCTTCCTTTTAGTACGTCCCAGCTAGGTCCTCCAGACTGAAAATCAAAATCCCAATTACAAAAGCAAAGATCATTTGAGAAGCCAAAACTAGTAGACAACATAGTCAAGTTTTTTAATTCTCACTATGTAAGTTGCTAACTATTACCATGGTTACTACTTACTACATCTCTGCCTGCTATAGCTATAACATCTGCACAAGAAACCGTCTGGGGGCAAGCAATTTCAAGTTTAGCTTTCGCATCGTCGATCACGTAGAATGACCGGACTGAAACATTGGGAGGGCCATCTTTTTCGGCTTGGTTTCCAGGAGTAGTGTCGAGCAGGATAGAGGCATCAAAACCCTGTCAGGATAAACCCATCATTAAAAACCTTCAAACATCAAACTAAATCAGCAGTAACCATTAGAACCCCATGAAACTAAAACATATGGCTTTGTACTGTACCCTTATGAAACAATCATGGAAGAACATCCTGAGGAGGCGAGCGGGGACTTTGGGGTCATAGATGGAGGCATTGCGAACCGTCTGCAAGATGATGGCCTCGGCCTGTGGACATGTTTGATCATAGTAATGCGAATCCAGCATCGCTCGAGAAGCCGGAATCGTAATCAAGAGCAAGGCCAAAGAGCAAACGACTCTGTAACCAGCCATGCTTGCTGTCAACCATGAAAGTTGATGAAGTTATCCGACCATAAACTGTACGTATATATAGTGATGGCGATAATGAAAAGAAAAGGAGCAAAATTTTATGTACTTTGAAGTCACTCAAAAGGCAGACTGAAGGCTACTGAGGCTGTCAATTTGGTTGGTTTTGGCTGTACTTGCCCAGTACTCTGTACTTTGTTAGTGCCATGAATATGTTAATGTAGGAGAAACTAAATGGGTTGGTGTATCTGATTTCTAGAGAAAGATGGGAGACTTGGGTTTGTGTGAAGCAAGTGCAATGTACAGCAAAACCTCTTAAGGGAGGGAGCTATGGTTAGGCTGACAAATGTTATGTTCTTGTTGTGGTTAAGGGCTGGAGATGAGGATGATTTCCCTTGTGAGCTAAGGCTTGGTTGAATGTGGAATCACGGATGAGAGTGATTAATACTAAAATACATTTGGTGCTTTGGGTGGCGGTTGGCTTATGTCCATCAATGATCTGGAAATAAGATCCCAGTTGGTGTGATTGAGGAAACACAATTCATCTCCTATATTAGAAACTCTTTCCTTATTGATTTCCTTTGTTTTAATACCAAACAAGGTAGGAAGCAGTACCATAATTCATTAACTCGTACCAACATATATAAGCATTCATTGACGAATATGATTAGCCACAAGAAATTAGTCTCTCTTTAGGCAATCCGGAACAAAGAACTTGCTAAATAATAGTCACTTACATACCATTTGATATAAATGAATTTCATAAGTTCTGAGGAATTCATTTGAAATGAAACATTTTTGTGTTTGGTATTTAAAAGAATTAATTTTCAATTCTAAAATTTTGAATTCCATGGAATTGGTACTAGTTATAGCAATTCCGAGGAATTGAGATGGAATTTCCGAATGAATTCCACAACTTTTTACTAATTATAATAGAATGACATAATTATCCTCTTTCTTAACTAAATTACTTATATATATATGACATACCAAACATATATATATATATAGTGGCATCTTCGGTGCACTCACTTTTTTGGGTGCATTCAGTGCACTCACTTCATAACCGTCATTTTAAACGTGCAATTTATGTCAAAATAATGTCAATCATCACTTATGATGTGATGAACAATAACGCACATGAATTTGCACAAAAATCATTAAAGATTTACTTTAATTTGAAGGATTTATAATTTAGAGATTTAGGGTTAGGTTTAGGGTTTACAATTTGGGGTTTAGGTATAGAAATCAAAATTGAAGGTCTAGGGCTTAGGGTAATCGGCTAATTAGTTGTTGTCATATGTTATATCATCATATTACACTAATTATATCATATATATATATATATATATATGATATACCAAACACATGAATTCATTTGACAATGAATTCTACACCGACAATTCATTTTATTTCTAAAGGCAGCGCGATTCAACTTCATTGGGGGCGTTGGAAGATCTTGGTTAGGGGTGTTCAAATGGTTACCGTGGTAATAACCAAACCAATTAAGCTTAAATTTCATTAGCCATGGAATAAAATGTCTTACCAAACCGTCCAAATTAACACGAAAACTAAATTAACCAAACCAAAGTTTAATTGGTTTGGTTAATCAGATAATCGGATTAACCAAATAGCCTAACACTACATGAAAACAATTATCCTGTTAATGACTAAAACATAACCATATGTTATTACTATCATTATATATAAGCAATAATAATAAGACTAACCATCCATGATTATCATCATCATTCGAGTTAATACATCATTCATTATCTCTGCACTAATATAGTTAGCTTACAACAAACCTTTAACATAAGTAGTAAATACATACCAACACCACTCATCATGAAGTTAAACCTCTCCTACAAAACAATTAAACTATACATAGTTTGAGGTGTTTGTCATGGTATTGTACGTACTCCTAAAGTCTAATAGTTGTCCAAAATGTTTTGGTTTAGTAAATAGGCAGACCATCTTAATTTTTGACGCATGGTTTGTTGTGCACATGGAAATAAAATAGGAATCACGAAAGTTTGGTTTGGTTGGTTGCATGGAAGTATAAATAATTTGTATATTAGGTGTATCATTAATTGGTTAATTGGTTTCATTGGTTAGCAGTGTTGAAAGCAAACCAAACCACATAAACCAAATAATTGTTTAACCAAACAAAATTAACCGAATACTATCGGTTTTATATAGTAGCACGGTAACCAATCCGTTTGAACACTCTAATCTTGGTACAATCGTGAAGCATTATGGGCTTTGAACTTGACCGTCCATTAGAGAAGCCCAACTTTGTAAATTGAGCAATAATAGGATTGTCCACTACAAAGTTCGACCTTGTTCGGGGTTTCGTTAACGGATTATGTCCGAAGTTTGATGTCGCCGGTAGTGCGAGGATGGCCAGCTCTTCCCCGAAAAGCGCAACGATCCGAGACGATTGGGAACTGGCAATGGCGATAACGACTGCTGGACCGGATGCTTCTGCATTGTATTCGCAGATGAGACACCTTGAATTTCCTTCAAGGGAGTATGCGTGGGCTTGCTCACATCCGACGAGTTAGTGCTCAAAGGATTGATCGAATGGTCTGGCCATTCCGACGGCTGCGTCCGTTACGCTTGTGGATTTCTCCACTAGTATTGTGATAGCGCGGTATATGCCCTTTACTGGATTTATTTCGGCTGCGCCTCTAAGTAGAAGCCAAAGCCGCTGCTTTGGAGTTACGAAGGGTTTTGAGATATGGGTTCGCCTGGCATGTTCACTTTCACTGTTGTTCTGAGATGTCTGCTAAATTTAAGAGAAGATGTAGAGGGCTACCCGGTTTTAAGAATGACTGCGTGGACGAGGCTTCAGTCTATACTGATCTCTGTTCGCGGAGGTCTGCTGGTTTTTCTTTGTGTGTATTTGTGGTGATGGCGGGGTTGGAAACCAAGTGTTCAATGAAATGGTTGCGAGAGATGTAGTTTCTCAGACTAGTATGAACTGATCTCTTCACAAAGATCTACCTTTATTCTTAGGCCCGGATGATGCACCAGATGCTGCAACTTGTGTTAGTGGGTGTGGGTAGACAACTCTTTTGGTCTTACAGAAGTGGTTGCTATGGCTTTGAATTTCCCTTAGGAGAGACAGTAGCCACCCTCAAACCAAGGACATTCAGACACTTTTAGAAGTTAGAACTCAAGACCAACCACTTGTTGGTTGAGTTGAAGGTCATTCCACATAAACATGGTTCTCTGTAAGTATTGTCTCCATATAATTTAATTCATATCTCAATGATCAGGGCTTCTTAAAAGCATAGTTGTATTTACGATTCTAAAAGTCGTGTATGAATGCAGTCCACGTCTATGCGAGTAATGCTTAGCATATGGGCATGCGAACCAAATGCAAGGTTTTGAAGCTTGAAATGATGATCGGTTTCAAATGTCTTCTTTTTTACAGCAAACAATCTGATTCAAGCAACATAATAGTCATAAAAAATAAATTGGTTACATTTCAATAGTTTTCTGGTTTAGACCTGTATACCTCCAATTTGCTTTCTCTACAAAGTCAGCATCCAAGAACTGAGCTATGAAAGAACAAAGCCTGTAAGTGTCCTCAAAATTAGATAGGAACCCAAGTGCAATTGTGACAACCATGATTCCCAAGTTTCTTTTATCTTTCTTCTTGTTTGTTGGCATTCCCTTCCCTGGACTTCCTTTGGTTTCCAGAACTGCTGCCTTCTCTGCTTCATACTTATCTGGGAATGAGATGCGGTGTAAGAATCCATAGCCAAGAGAAATATTGCTCCTGTCAGCTAGTTTCTGCACCAGGGTAGCTTCAATCGTTTCTCCTTTCCAATCAAACACATTAAAAGCCAAAGCAGGACCCTGTCAAATTTCACTTTGGGTCCATATATTCTGACAAGGGGAATTTCCTGTGAGTTTGGATGCTTGAGCTTCATCAAAGCGTTCACCAGCCAAATGATCAAGCACCTTCCTCTGCTACTGATCTCAGTCAGCCCTAATGCATCCACCTGATCCAATCCCCTGCATTCAATCTTTGATATTTGCTTCTTTCTGTACCCACTCTTCTCTGCTTGGACAATGCTAGCTTGTTTCCCTGTTCCAGTAGTTTCTGACTCTTTCTGCTTTACATATGCATCTACAGGTTGCTTCTCTGGAACTTCTCCTTTTTCTAGTACGGGACATGAGAAAGAGTTTGATGTATCCACCTCAGCCTTTTCTTCCAAACCGAGCTTAGGCATGTATTCAACTTCAACATCTCCACCAGACATTTCATCCTGCAAATGGAACTTCTTCCCTGGCAAGAGGCTCACCATACCAGCACCTGTATAATCTTCCATAAACGAAATGGTGTATTTCTTGACGAAGAGACATCTGAACCCAGATGGGTTCTCCCCAAAGACTCTGTAGAAGGAAGAGACAATGAAATCTGGGTGAATGAGGGTGAGGGCAAAGCTATCCATGTCCTTTGGTCCCAATGCACAAGTATCCATTAGTATGTGCCACTCATTCTCCTGCGCAGTTCGCATCCATGAATATGGATATCTAGCTCCAGTCATCCTCGAATGAAGCGGGAAGACGAAAAGCCCTCTCTTCCTTTTCTTCTTTCTACTCCTCACAATCAACTTCTTCAGCTTGACCGAGTTAATCCTAAGCCTAGGCCAGTTGAATTCTGATGACGTGCTTTTGGCTCCTTTCCTTTCAGAGATTTTAGTCATGGCTTCCACTGCCTCGCTTTCGTAGTCATACACACTGAGAAGCTTGTTAGAGGACTTGAAAGGGTAAGACTCTGCAAGAAGCTTGAAAGCAGAAGTCCTATTTGTAGTGAAAACCATGCTGTAATCTTTTGCTGATATGTTGAGGAAGCTTATGACCCTTTTCTTCATGGCGGATTCTATCTCCGATTCCTGACCACCATGGAGGAGCTGCGTCTTAAGACTCCCGGGCGGTCTTGTAACACACGGTAAAGTAGGGAAGATTCGAACTTTGTAGTTGTGGCGAAAGAGAAGCAGAAGATGAAGATGGTCCAACATCTTGTCCTATAGAATCACCTGATTGTACTTGGGAATAGGAGAAGAGGCCGATTCCAATGTAGTAAAGGCAAGTATGGTTGGATTTCGAGAGATGGTGGTAGTCTTTGATTCGAATCTTATCTACCTCGTACGTTGCAGAGTACTGCGGGTATGCTTTGGTGAATTCTGCGAATGCATTGAGCAGAGAGGGTAGAGAGTCGGGATTTGTGAAGTGGGTGGCCGGGAAAATGGAGGAATTAGTTGCAGTAGTGAAGTTTCGACGGCTGGTGGCCAAGGTGGTCGTTGTTGTGGTGGTGGATGATTTCTTGTTGTCAGGAGGCTTGTTGAGGGGCTCAAGATAGCCGAGGAGAGGGCCAGGGCAGCACCCTTGAAGAAGGAATGCTTCAGGGAAGTCGTTTAGACAAGGTGATTGCATCTCTCCCTATCCCTCTTTTCCTTTCCTTACCAACTCTACAATGTTCTTCTCTCTTGTTTCCCGCTGTGAGAGGTGTCTTGTTTGTTTCTGGTTGGCCATCCAAATGTTTTTATATGGTGAAGTGATTATCACAACGCTGTTTAGAACGAGTCTACCTAGGGAGGTCTAATTTCAATCGTTATTTTAACAATTAATGAATGATAGGGACGGGGTGGCCCATTTGGTGCAAGATACAACTTTCTTTGAATTAGTCAAATAATTAATTAAGGCTGACCATGTCCTCCTCTTGTTCCCCCCGTTGACTGTGCTTTGCTGGTAACGGTACAAAATGCTAGTTTTAGCTAGAACTCGGAACTCTTTTCACATATTAAGTGATTGAGACAGCAGTATCACTACCTGCTAATATGACATTCAGGAGCTTCTTTTGCAGCATGCTTGGTGCTTGTTATATAATGCAACAGAATCAAGACCGGCTTGAACCACGCACAACCCACAACTAAGTAACAACAATCTGACGTGAGTCTTCTCCCATGACATGGGAATTTTCACTGCACTGCATGTGTTTCTTTCCGGACTATCTTGCATCACCTGAAGTAGACTTGCTCTTAATCTGTTAATTTTTTGGTGGGTGTTAGTGATGAAACCTTATTTGCACTTTGATGGGTTGTAGAAACTAGAAAGTAGAAGCAGAACAGGTAGCTATGATTAAGGATTTGGGGACTCTCTTTATCTTTACGCTTTTTGATAGACCGTCATTTACACATGTTTTTACCCTCATACTTACACCGTTTGAAGTGTTGATTCTCGTGTTTTAGGCCGATTTCACGCTAGGTTGTGCTTGTTTGTGTTATTTCAGGTCCTAGTACGTGAATAAAGGCTTAGGAGCGAGTCTGGGGTCTATTGGACGAAGAACGGACGAAGGGCGAGCTTTTTGGGGAGCCGCACGGCCAGACCATGGAGACGCACGGCCGTGCAAAGTGCAATTATGGCCGTGCGCCTCTGGCCGAGGACATGCACGGGCTGGCCGGGATCCTTGCACGGCCGTGCACCTGGTCGTGCAAGAAGGCTGAGATCGAATTAAGTGAAACGGCGCGTTTCAGGGTGCACGGCCAGAATGGTGATGTGCACGGCCGTGCACCTGGCCGTGCAACTCGGGGAAACCCGGTTTTAAAGCCTAATCCGAGCCAGAAGTGAGAGAATCGTGTTTTCAGAGCAAAAACAGAGCCCTAGAGAGAGAAAGTGCGAAGAACACATCCTAGAAGCTGTCTTAGAGCTGGATTTCATCGAATCGAGCCTGGAGATCGTCATAGGAGTGGAAATCATCGTCCCGGAGCAGATTATCCTCATCGTTATGAGTATGACTAATCCGATTCTTGTTTTCTCTTCTCTCTCTATGGAGTAGAACCCTTCTCTTACTTGGGTATGAAGAACCCTAGTTCCTTGTGTTAGGGATTTGATTGTAATGACTTGGGATGATATTACTGTTTGATTTTAATCGAATGACGCATGTTTATTGAATTGATTTGAGTCTGATCAGCTTTTCTCAATTTCTGCTGCAATCTGAGATAGATAGAATCTGATTAGGTTGTTAGAGCCTCTTCATTCGATAGTAGGAGATTGGCTATACGAGAGTTAGCCAGTTTACTGCTTTGTACTGGTGTTCTTGGCACCAGTAGTGGAGTTCTGTGTTCATAGCCTCAGCTTTCTATCCCGGTGAAGACTAGTCGTCTGTCGGGTAGTTAGACTGAGAGGGCTTGGTCAGCTTAAGAGATTCCAAGCTACTGTCGGATCTTCCGCAGTCTAATCAACAGTAAATCAACCCAGGGAATTGCAATTGAACCTAACTAAGGGGCTAGGGGGACTCAATCCCGAGTGACTCTTGCCTGCTTTAGAACCCCGAACAATTTACTGCTTTCTTGTTGCTTTTACCTTTCACAACAATCACTCGACTTAGTTTGCTAGATAATAGAGAATCACGGAGTAAGCAGTAGATCTAGACCCCGGGTTGATAATTAAACTTGCCTGTTACTGCAGTCCCTTTCATTGGTTACACTTGGCCATTGTTAGGTGTTGTGTTTTAGCGTGTTACTTTTTTTCAGGGATGGGCGTGAATTATGGAAAGTAATGGTGGGGAGGCAGAGCAACAAAGCAAAAGCACAGCTTATTGCCTTCTATCAATCATATAAAGTTGCATCCTTTTTTGATGGGTTTGGGTCTTTCAAATGCTTGCTTCCGATTTAAGGCTCTTAGGTAATGAATTATTTCCTCTGTTTCCACTTTCTCCCTGCAAAGGGCACATCTCCCCATTCATCTGGTGCCAAGCAGATACATTCCTGGTGAATCAATTTTCCTTTTCTTCAACTTTTTTTTTAATTAGTGGTATCTATTTAATCATTGCACTGGCATCGTCAATTGGGTTGGGCGGGAAAGGACCAATTTCCATTGATTTCCCACCTATTCCATTATAGGGTCCCTTTTTATGTGCAAATTTTATGTGTATGGTAGGATTGAGGGTTTCATTTTTCCTTGTGTGCAGGCAACTGGGAAATTGGAGGGAACAGGTTGCGGCCAAGATAACAAAAGGATGTTATTCAAGACTACGATAAAGGGGAAAGCTTGCATGGTTAGTCTATGAGGGAAAAAGCAAGCAGAGCACCAAGGAAGAAAAGCCATGCATTACGGGGAGAATAATTTGCTCAAACAGCATAAAGAGGGAAAGTGAATGTCAATCAGTATTATTAGCATTTTGGACAATGAAGTATGAATGAAAAAGTCTTCTTCCAAACACATCAATGGGAAACCAAGAAGTTGCAAAAACTGACTCTTTGTTTCTCAAATTATGATGTTCTTTTCAAACGTATGACATACGACTGGAAACAATAACACGGAAAACCATTTTGCGTCGAATACTTTTTTCATATGATTTAGAAATGATAATTTTGTAAGTCGTTACTGAAGAACGATATTCGTGATGAGATTTGCTCGAATAGGAATGTACATCATATAGACTGACTGACAATTGGACCCCAACTTCACACTATTTGGGCCGTGGAACATTTCCCCCCCCCCCCCCAAAATGACAGTTAATAGGTGTCTCAATCTTTATAAATGGTATCAAACCTACCCTTTCTGGTTGTGTATCATGCCTCCATTGATTAATATACTGATAGTGGTTGAGTTGAAGACGTGAAGAAATAGCTCAACAAACTCTTTCAATCCTCCTTCAGATTAATAAACGAAAGAAAGGACAAAATAGGGAGAGAGAAAAAAAAACCTCTCCAATCTGTGGCTAATGACTGATCATCAACCCACTTGGCACTTTGTCCAGGCCTAGACTAAGTTTTGTGCATGTTTTGTCCTCAGGCATATTGGACACAAACAAAAGCGACACGAATGTTGTTTGTCTCTTAAAGCGACCACAATTCAGGCATTTTAACTCTATCAAAGATGAACGGAAACAGGAGCAAATGTCAAGTGTCTTGTACTTGTATATGCTTTACCAATGAAAATGAACCTGAAGCTGAAGCATCAAAGTTGAATTGAACTTACCCTTTACGCCAATATGGGTTTTCGTGAGTAAGCAGAAAAGCAATCACAGGGCAACTCTCCTTTGGCAAGCCCCCAAAGCCGGCAATGTAGTACCCCTGAGAGAGAGACTATGTTCCCTTCGCCGGCCGGATTGCCTGCCAAGTCAGAGGTGCCCTACGACTGATTTGCTTATAGATGGTTTACAATTTGGCCCTGCAGATCTCATTTGGGTTGCTGTTGGGTATATAAGAGGGCGGGAGAGAGATGGGGATAAACCCTTCGGCAAAGGGATGGCATATCCTTTGGTGAAGGAGCTAGAGGAGGGAAAAGCATGGTTTATGCCTGTGGATATACCCTTCTGTATTGGAGAGGACTTGTCAAGTTTCAACTGGTAATAAATGTAGGGGAAAAGCAAGCTGAATGGATAGTCAGGTCATGTCGCAGCACGAATCTTGATGCCACCAAGATCACTACTTTTAAAGAAAGATTGAATAGATTCTCCTCTTTTCCATCTTTGGTCCCAAGTCTCAACCCAGCAATGGCCTTTCACCAATGGTTCAGACTTCCAAACTCCCAACTGTCTCTGTTCTGGTACAAGGAAAATGGAAATTAGTGTGCTTCCAATCCATGTCTCTTTTTACTTTTTTGTACGTGGTTTTGAACGGGCTTGTGGGCCAAGCCCATCAGATACAGGCCCAAACTGAAGCGGTGCCGGATAAGAAATCCTTCCCCAATTCGGATTCGAAAGCCACATCCTCCTCCCCTGTATCTATTCCTCTGCCCCTTTCACAGACTTGCTGAATTTCCGTATCCGAAACAGAAACCCATTTTTCCTTACCGCCTCTGAAACCTTAACACTCTCTCTATATAAACTATGAACTCCCATCTTCAATCCCACACGCAAAACTCCTCGACCAATCATATTGTTACTGATCATAATGTCTCTGACGCCGAAGAACTCGTTCGCCATATTGGCCGACGCAGACACGCTGGAGATCGCCAACCACGCCAACAAGGACCATTACCTGCAGAAGAAGAAGAGCGGCGGCGGCTCCGGCGACGGGCAGAAGAAGGAACAAGTGAGCCGCTGGTATGAGAATTACAAGCAGCGTCAGGAGGAAGAGCAAGCCTCCAAGCAAAAGCAGCAGCCCGAGAAGTCCAATTTTGTTGTTCTTGGTCACGGCAGTAACGCTGGCAATAGGAATAACGGTAAGGGTGCGGTTGAGAAGTCGCCGTCGGCGGTGAAAAACTCACAACAGGGGAAGGGATTAGCCAGCAACGCTAGTGGTAATAATGGTCAGAAGATTATGGGCCAGGGTACTGATTCTAAGGCAAACAATTCTTCTAAGCCTAATAAAGAAGGGTACTTGAGCAAGCAGCAGAGGAAGGCAGGGGAAGATTACGGGAAGGCATCGAAGAACGAGAATGGTGTGGTGGAGAAAGAAGAGATTGAAAGGCCAACGTTCAAGTTT